GTCTTAAATTCTTACAATGCGTATGTACCTTGAGTTGTTGGTGCATTGCTGATTTGCGGCACACAGATTGATGCCCCAAAAAGGTGCGCTTATAGGCATGATATTTTCATGTCCATCAGGGGTATGAAATGATTAAGAAATAATCATTACTTTTTATATTCCAAATAGCATGCTGTTTCTACTTTAGTAGATTGACACCTAAACGTATACTTGCTTGCTGTACTTGGCAAAGGGTATGAAGGATGGGGATAGGGACAGATATCTAGATGCCCCCTCTCCATCGGCAGAAGACTGGCGCAGTACGTTGCACTGTTGAAAGATCCTGGATCTATATCGGCTGACCCAAATTCTGTGCCCTTCACAGTCATTCTGTTCAGTCAGTAGGGATTGAGTTTCACAAAGAATGTCTGTCGTTGGAATTCCTGGCCCTTTTTTTAATATCAGTCTTAACCTTTCTCTTGTTATCTGCAAGCCAGTGTCGCAGACTGACGTTTACTTCAGGGGGGTGATCCAACCGGTATTCTGATTTATCGCTTGAGCGTGAAAATGTGCCATGCGATGGCCCTAAACTCGCAGGTGGTGCATTTCCAGAATCAAAATTGGACTGCAGACGACATTTTTCGGATTCTTTATGTGCACTTTAAATAAAAACGCATTCCCTCCCCAGCCTTTTCCTGTACCGGAACCAGCACACATTTGACACCCCGAAATTTAATACAGTTTATGGATGAGTTTATGCTCCAATTTTGTTGTTAACATTTTAAACTTTACTTGAGGGTGGGAACAAGCAGCTATCCTGGGGGGAAGAATTCTTCAAAAGTGTGTCAAAATTTTGCTGTGTTTGGACTTTGGACCACTACCCAATAGATCCCCACACCTAACCCCCTGGAAAGTGGAATGCCATACCAAAGACTCAAGATCCTGGGAAAAATTCATTCTCATATTTTGTACTTTCCCAATAGATTTTACAATTTTTCCAAGTTAAAATTTGAGAAAACTTATTGTGTGTGTACCAATCAACACCCCAGCCATTCAGAAAAAAAATTCAACATTTGTTATTACATATTTTCTTGCTTGTGCTGGGTTTCACAGTCGGACAGAATAGTTTACATTCGTGCCTGGAAGACCGGATGTTTTGTTAGGACTGGCGTGATAAACGCTACTTGTCAGCTTTGCGGTTCGACAGTGAATGCATCGCTGCAGCACTTGTAGTCATCCAAACCCACGCGATCAATCATTAAATCATTGCATCCTGCATGCTGGTTGGTTGGACAAGTTGAAGTTAGGGTCAGCCCAAAGCGTCCCCAGCTCTCGTATGTTTGTATCTCAAGAGTCCGTCTGTCGGAAGTGTGTAGCAAGTGCGCTGGAAGAGGACTTTGTGTGAGAGAGAGAAAAAATGTTGAATAATTTGTTTATACATGTACACATGTGCAGTGGAAATTTGCTGTGGATAGAAATGCAGCTAGTCTACAAAATACTTATACCCTCCTTGAACTGAAATACATTCTAATATGCCAAGAATAATGTTTCCATTTTTTGTACGTTGGCTCAATTTCTACTGAGTAGCAATTCTCAAAATTCCAAGCAGATTGGAGCTTTCATCAGTGCCTCTAACAATCAAACGCTTTTTGCTTAAATCCAAAATTCGCTGTTGTCACACACATTTACAAAAACAGGTGAAACATCACACAACACTGGAATTACTCCAAGACGATCAACACGTTCCACCGCAGTGTTTTTAATTTTTTTTTTTATACCAGATAAGGCCAGCTGGCCCCATAGTCACAAAATACTATTCAATTTATTTAGAATGGCTACACACTGAGCCGGATTTAGCTCATTACAGGGTAATCCTATACAACAGCACTGCCTGGCTCTATTCACCGGCCAACAACCAGGCTATGTCACAAGTGACAATGGGGGAGTCAGTCAGTCAGTCGGCGAGATAATACAAAGAGGACTCTGGAATGCCCATTTGAGAACAGCAAAATAAGCACCAGAAACAATGCAATACAGGGTGATGGTTGCTAGCCGAGATATTTTGCTTGACCTGGAACTATGACCCCTGGACATTCCGTGATTGATGCAGTGTTATTAGTCTAGCTGTCCGATAAATCCTGGGTCAGTAAAAATAAAGTTCAGTCCCCCAGCTGGGGGGGGGGGGGGGGGACAGGAATTCCAGGAACCCAGGTTATCAATTTAAAATCAAATTTTGCTAAGTAAAGATTTACAATATCCTTAGCAAAAAAACAGGTTACTTAATTGTAATGCTGTATACATACATATTCATATTTTGCATAGGAAATATCGCTTAGCACTTCCACAAAATATGAGTGCAGTTAATACCTTAATAGAATAAAGTGACAATTTGTCTTTCAGATACATGTATGTAATTTAATAATAATGGAATAAACAATTAAAAAGATTCTGGTACTTTGTGTGGTGCATATACTGTAGAATCTTAGTGTGCAACTGTGCATGTATACAACCAGATCAGGAAATATGCACTAATAAGGACATATTCACTAAATTTCTCTGTAAAGATTGGACTATACATTTATGTACAAAAGCATGTATTGGGATGAGTACTCATAATGAGAAGAAAAAACCTGAGATTATTAGATCACACATAAATTGTTTACAACATTGTTGACAGTATTTAGTTTTGGTAGGTCAATAAGTTTTAAACTGAATTTGACAAAGTAATGGTGGTTATTTTCTTTAAAACAAACATACACAAAATATTCGCCCAATAAACTCTTCCTGCATAAAAAAGAGTGTAGAGGAATATAATACACATAAAATATCACTGATTTAATTTCGTTCTGTAATTTTTCAAGAAGATTCATAGCTCGGTGAGTATTGTCACAACGTGATGTCCATTCGGTCAATGCCCGGACACGGCTGAAATGTCACCAAACTCCTCAAAAGGTCAAAGGTTACCGGCCTCAGGGGGCAGAAATCGTTTTAGTTCCACCTTGCCCGCTGATTTTTGGCCTTTTCTCCGCGGGAGGCAACGGTTGGAGACAGAAAACAACATTCCTCAAGAAAGATTAAAAATATGTAATTAACAGCTTAGATGTTGTTTCATGTCTTTAAAATCAATTTACAAATTTTAATTTTTTTTGTTGTTATTAAACAGAGGAAACATGAACGGGTGCTAAGCTTACTTAGTCATGTATGTTTTGTCCCATTTTATTAACCATTCTTCACACTTCATATCAGATAATTGAAATTCTTGTTCATCATTGTTAGAAATGGACAGGTTTGATAAGATAAAAAGCTGGAATGTCGGCCGCTGATAATAAACTAGACCAAAGTTGATGTCTATCTGAGAGTACGGGGCAATAGCATAAAAAAGCTTGAAATGAAGTTGACACTCATTTTGTGCAGTACCTGTATATCCCTGTCTGTGGAGTGTGGATTGTACTGTATGTTAATTGTGGAGTAAACTTTCTTGGGGCTCAGAATGGTCGAATTTGTTAGTGCTGCTGGCTGTCACTATTTCTTGTCTGGGTTACCTGAGATTCAAAGGTTGAACTTCTGTTCCTTGCTCTATGAACTTACAAATCGAAAGTTATGCATTTACAGCCCTGGGTTTTAGCCGCTTTTCTGATATTGAATCGTCCATGTTATTCTTCAGCTGTTGATTACACCAAAAAAACCTGAGCTTGGTGAATGGTGAGTTTTTATTTACCCAAAAGCTACTCCTTTCCAAGTTTTTTTCGCTGTTGATTTCCAATTGTTGGACAGCACACTGAAAACCTGTTTTTCTGTGGTTCAGAAGTAGCTTGGGGCTACCATCAGATCCTTGGCAAAAACCAACCGGACTTAATCTTGTTTGTTTCCTTGCGCTGACTCCAGACTTTCTCAGGACACCTTGAGAGGGCCTCACAGCACCTGAACCGACCTCTTTCTTGTAAACACCTCAGGAGAAAAGACGCAGGAGCGGACTTGAAGCAGTTGGCAACCCTCCAGATTTTTTTTCTTGTCTACCTCCATTCCTGGTACCTTTTGTTCCCTGTTAATGTTTGCCTATTGTTTTTGGCTGTCACGGAAGCGGTGTCGTGTTTCTCAACTTGGATTGGAGGCGAGACCCAAAGCGCTAAGATGCCGTAGCGGTCGATGACCAGTCTAGTCTGATACTTTCAGTGAACATAGGCCTGACCTAGTTTATATTGTTGATGTGAGGTCCACGTTGAAATGATTTGTAGTTGATTTATGACCTAAGGTATGTTTTTGTTTCACTTGATTTACCTGCTCTGTATTAATCTTTGTTTGGCAGGAAAAATGAAAAAAAAAAAATCTGACATATTGGTTCAATCCGAGTTCACAGTCTGTTGTGTAGTCAATCTCTCTTGTCTGGACTGGACCATTTTTTTTTTGTTCACATGATCTATTTTTGTTCCTCCACCTGTGAACTGCCATTCGGGTCGCCATGGAGACCGAGTGACCCTTGACTTGTTTGAGTGGAATATTTCAAGTCTTTGTCTAAGAACTGGGATGTGAAGTCAGCTTGGGCAAACAAAGCATAATTTTTGTTTCACCCCCAGCTGGTGTGACCTACAAGGATCACAGATATGTATGTTAAGACATGTTCACACTTTTTTTTTTTTTGGGGGGGTGATCTTTTAATACTTTGAGGAATCCTACCAATATTGCATTTATATATTGACTTGCTTTTGAATGTAAACTGAGCCATTTGCACAGTCAGTTTTTAGTGGTCACTTTCAGAGTGACAAGTTCCTTTCAAATTAAACATAGAATGCACTTGTACATGCCTGAGCACTTAGGCTGTGCATTAGTCCTAGTCCATTGCAATCATCGCTCATTTTACCCACTAGTCATCTCGGATCAGGATTTTTTTGCAGCATGGAACGTTGTTTTAATATGTATCGTGATATGTATCGTATCGTTTGGCATGTATTGTGATACGTATCATGACCCAGGTGTATCGTTTCAGCCCTACTATGTTTTGTATTGTATTTTTTATTCTGCAGCCATGGAAGGACATCACAGCATCCGGTAAGGACTTCATCGCCAAGCTACTAATCATCTCTCCTAGCGAGAGGTTACCAGCGGCCGAGGCTCTCAAACACCCATGGATTGTCACCAACGCTGCCCAGTCCAGCCTCAAAAACCTCCATCGCTCTATCAGTCATAACTGGCTGAAACGTACCTCCACGCGGAGCCGGTCAAGCAAGTCGGCGCGGTCAGCCCGGTCAGCTCGGTCCAACCGATCCAGCAGGTCCAACCGCTCAAACAAGTCGGACAAGCACCGAGTGCAGTTGAACGAACTCACAGATCTAACCAAAGATTACAAAAAGGTATGGTCCGTCTGAAGTTACGATACTCTGGTGCCAAATTAGTGGATGTAATTAGGACAAAAAATGGTTACACACAGAAAATACAAGTTGCTATAACTTTCCATTTTCGCAAAAAGCAAAATTTTCCAGCCAACTTCTGATATACAGCCAAACGTAACAAATACTGATTCGCACGAGTCATTCCAACAGTATTTGTACGATATTTCTTGCCAAAACCTCATATGTTTCAATACTCCAGGGTGTGCACTGGAGCGTAAATTGTACAACAATAGGCCGTGCACAACGGCCAATTCAAGATTAACACACGGTCCGCCTCCACAGACTTCTTGACGTCTTAACCCGTCAGCCGTGCTGTGTGTAAAAACAGCCAGTGCATGTTATTGTTATCACTGGTTAATAGCAAAATGAAGAGAAGATATTTGCCTAGCAAAAGCAGGGTTAGCAGTTGAAATGTGATGTGATATGTATTCCTTTTGACTGGTATTTAGCTGATGTTTACTAACCTAGTGCTGAAATTTGTGAAGCATTATTTTCTTAATGGGATTCCAAAAATTGGGCTCAGTCTTACTCTCATGCGATGCATGATTTTGGGCACAAAGTTTATAGCAAATAAAAAAAATTAAAAAAAATAGTATCAAAATTGTATCATTTCCAGTTTTTTTTCCCCATAATTGATTTTCTTGATAGTCTTTGCAAATGTTTTTTGCTTTTGTGGTTTAAAATAGAGGGAAATCATCAGAAATATCCCTTCTTGAATTAGGCTTAGTCTGAGCTGTGTTTGATCTGACATTGTGAACGTAAAGATAAAAGGTTTTGAATCTCTGTTCTGTAACATGGATCTGTGAAAGATAAAGTAAAATTTTGCCACAAAGACAGCTTGAAACCCCAACCACAAAAGACCCTTTTTGTGGTCTTGTCCTTGCCATATCTCAATCTAAAAATGGCTCCTTTTCAGGCCCCAAACTGATCCCTCGGTGTAGTTGCACTTTACCCATTGTTCAATCTCCGAGTGTATTTCCAAATAAAGAGATCAAGACATGATAAGAAAAAGTAAAAAAAAAAAAAAACACCTGAAAAGGATTGAGCTTGGTGGCCCAAGTATTTGGTTGAGATGCCTGAGGCTTTGCACTGTGTGAGCTTGGGTGCTAGCCAAAAAGTCCTGCAGTCCAGAAATACTGAAAAACAAGTGTTTTTCGGTCTCGCTTTTTCCAAAGGAAAAGACAGAGGACATGCCATTTTGAGTTTTGGTAGGATTAAAGCTCCGTGGGTGGATTTCTTTTTTCCCCGGACAAAATCAATCATTAAGGCTCAGTCTGGCTGCCTCTGAGGGTTCCCCCCCCCCTGTTATTGTGGGAGTATGTGTATTTCCCTGCGAGCACATTGAGATTATCCCGCCATACAAGGCTAGTTGGCCATAAAACCTCCCCCGTACCAACAAGTGATAAATTACATTTTGTGCTCAAAATCAGGACAATGCAAAATGAGATTTCATGAACCGTTGGTTCTGATCCTGTTTTGTGGGCTGAGTAAAATGGACCCAAAATGTTTCCATTCTTTCAAGCTTTTGATACAAAGAAAGGCCAAAAAAAGTGTAACATATTGAGTTTGAAAACTTTATATACAATGTATTTTACTTAAGTGTATAGATTTTAGCCTAATTGAACAAAAAATAAACAATGCCTATATTCATTTATTTTTTTTTTCTTTCTGTGCAAAGGAAACAAGGTAGCCTGAAGTACGACAAGAAGAAAGTCACACCGACAGTTCCCATCATGCACTGCAGATGACGGCAAGCTCTGGCGAGAAATTAGTGACTTTTTGGAGTCTTATACTGATTTGTCAACTTTGAGTTGTATTAGATCACTTTAGCCACCAAACCAAATGGATTAAAGGACATTAGGTTTTATGAGGGGGGGGGGGGGTGGTTACATTAATGATGGTTTGATGAGAAATTAAGGGAAAACTTGCAAAAAGTGTCCAACTGTTTTTTTTTATAATACAGTTCCTGATGTCCACTTAGTTTTGAGGTTCATTTTCAAAAGGTTTTTTTGGGGGGGGGGGGGGGGAGGTGCACTTATTGGCTAAATTAATCTTTTGGATTCATCCATTAGGAATTGAAAAATACACGGAAATACACATATGCCCAATTGCACGTACAAAAAAGAGAAATAAATCATTTTATCTAGGCTTTGAGGGTTTAGGGACTGCAAAGGTATTGAACAATATAAACCAAATCTGCTTGTTTTCTTGTAATATTCTGTACATAAGTTGTAATCAGTTTGTTAATACAGTGTCGTAATGTACATGTATGTATATCTACATAGTATTTTAGAAAAAGATATTTTTCACATAAGAAATTACTGTATCAATTTTTAAAAATCTATTTGGTTGCTTCATATATTTATATGTCACAAGTTGAACCAAAATGAACCATTTAAAGTTTTGTCTGCATTAGTTTTATGCAAGTGGGATCACTTATGATGTGATATGTCACATGTATTTTAAAGGCATATAGGATCATGTGCAGTAATCTACAATGTACCAAATTATTATTAAAAAGCTTATTTGGATTGGAGATCATACTGATACTAAACATCCCTTTACATTATTTTGTCCGGCTTGCTATCATTTAGAAGTAATCAAGAAATGTAGGCGATTTCAAACGATCAGTCACTTGACTGATTTCGTGACAAAATCGTGTTTCACGATCAAAAGGTTGTGCATGCTTTTTCACAGTTTCCTCAAAAAGTGTGTAGTATCCACTGAGCTGAAACTTCAACAGGTTTACAGGTTTTGGACATTCCTCCATGGATTTGAGTGGTGTTTTTCTTGGAAACAAATGATCCTATATGCCTTTAAGCATTTTCATCTTTCGGAGTAAGCGTAGTCTTTGCCTTGCTTACTGCTCACAGTTATTGTGAATTGTGCAAGTTTTGTTGAGCCAAAATGGAATTTCGTTCTTTGGCATTGTTCCATCTGCTCTCTAATCAGGAACCAGTGATCTCTCACTTTCAGACTGGTTTCCGCTCCAACATTTGAAGTCTTTAGTATAATGAGGAGCTGGGAACCAGTCTTCAGCTCTGCTTAATCAAACCTCAATTTCCATGGTATACGTGTATTGATTCCCACGTATAAATCAATGAACAGCCAATGTCTACCAGTGAAATCCGAGTGCCTGGTACCCACCATTCCCTGTGCCAAACAAACGGTATATGGCATAAAATGTTTAGAACAAATGCTGTGCATTTGCACAGCATTTGTGTAGATCGTTGCAACTGTGACAATTTGTTACAAAATGCCTTGGTGAGAAAAAAAAACCTATTATTTTTGCTTTTATTGAATCCATGTAATCGTTCCTTCTCTAGGACAGCATGATCCACATTTGCATGAATATTTACCTTTGTGAGAAATACATTTTCATATTTTGTTTCCAGTTAATGATTTGTAGAGCATGGCTTGACAGTGAGAATATTAAAACACAGAGATTAAAAAAAATTGAATTGCTATGTCTGTCATTTTATTTCCTTTTATTTTGTTTTTAATAACATTTAACATGATGTTAGCTTTACAAAAGATCAACAGAGAAAAGAAAATTACAAGACAGAACCCCCAAAAATACATGTTTTAGGCCAAATTAAAAAAAGACATGTTTTAGTGTCCCCGCCCACTTCCTTTTTGGAGGCCGCCTCCTTTTTTCTTTTCTTTTTTTTAATTTGAAGAAGAAAAAAAAACTGCAAAAAATTATAAATTTTAACAGTGACATCTTTTTGGCCTCTTTGTCTGTTGCATGTAGCCCATATAAAGCTGGTGTGTCTTTATCTGAGTCCAAGTGGCAGCCATTTAAAAACAAAGCTGGCGGCCATCTTGAAAAATAGCCTAGCCAGACGGCCGGTTGTTTTGGAAAAAAGTCGGCGGCCATTTTGAAAGGGCCTCCTCCTTCCTTTTTTTTTTCTCATAAAGGCAGGATGCTAAACATGTTTTTTTGTTAATTGGCCTAACTTCATAAGTTATAAAGTTTAATTATGAAAAAAAATCCACTAGGTTTAAAGGTTATTTGACTCGCCCATTAGCCAAACTTATTACTATCAGTGATGTCATGGATATAGCTTGCAGGGTACATTTCCCCTTTAACACAACTTAACGCGGTACATGACCAGATGACGAAGGGGCCTACAAAGTCAATTTACAGTAATCTTAAATTAGGACCCCGTTCCCATAGGTTGAAAGACTCACCAAAAACAACTGACTAAATGATACTTAAAAGTGATGTTCTGATATTTCTTGACACATCTGAACAGTTGGTGATGACACCTTTTTGAATATCAGCGGATTTAATTTTGTGAAAAGAAGGCAGGGCTTTGATTTTTGAGGGAAATTGTGGGTAAAAGGTAGCAACGGGCTTTCACTTGTGAGATTTACAAGAAAAAAAGTGCAGTATTAAAGAAAGTCACATTTTCTTTGAAAGTGCTTTCAAAATTACAACAAAAATGAGTTTATCTGAAGGATAAAGACTGGTTTAGCCTGCAAAAGTTTTGAACAGAACTCATAAAAACTAAAGAGGTGTCCTGATCGTGGAGGCCGAAGCATCCAGAAATACACTATTATTCTCACAGGTAGATGTTATAGAATGTCTGCTTAATTTTCTGTCAAGCTCGGTTTTTTTAAAGAAAATTCTGTCAACATGGTCAAGTTTAGCCGAAATTCGGCTAAAACGTTCACCGTTGCCAGCAGGCACCTGCTGATAGGCCGTTATCGGCGCGGCGCCCTCATGCGTCAAATAAAAAACTGGCTTATTTTTTGTGGGTGAAAGTACTGAAACACTGGCACTGACTGGTGCCGGTGGAAACTTTTGAGAATTTTCTCGGTTGATGAGTAGTCAACGATGCATGGCCTGATATTGTGATTTAAAGACTTCCAGTTTCAGGTACAATTTCACTGACAATTAACATGACATATTGGGTTTGTGAATGGTCCGTGGTGAATTGTGAATATTGTCCGAGACAGAGTGTGGGAATTATTTCCTTCCGTACCTCCACGCACGGCGCGGCGGCCGGCCAGTGAAGGCTTGGGTTGGGTGGGGCGGGGTCGGGCAGGGTAGGGGCATTTTTTTTTAGCATGTTGAGGGTGGGTGGAAGGGGTTTGAAAGTAAAGAGCGCATCTTTTACTCTTTCTCTTTTGACTTTGTACTGTGTTAATTGGATAGGCCGTCTAATTTTGTTGATTTTGATATTTTTTAATTGTTTACTTTTGTTTTCACTGGCAATAATTCGGTAATCCTTACTTTTAAGTTTTAGGACCCAGTTCCTATATAGGAAGGGAAAGACTCACCAAAACAGTTGACTAATTTTTTCTAAATGACACTCAAAATTGACATTCTGATACTTCTTGGCACATCTGAACAATTGGCAATGACACCTTCTTGACTTCTAAAGACTGCTTTAGCCTGCAAAAGTCACTTTGGAACTGGACAGACATCTGCAAAAGTCAGTTTTGAACAGAACTCGTAAAAAATAGAGGTGTCCTAAAAGTAAGGATTACCAATAATTCTCTACCCCTCCCCCACAACATCTCTATCCCCAAACTTTTTGTGCATTTTTTAAATGATCAGCTCTTTTCATATTTTAGGTTTCACAACACAAGTGACAATCAAGTAATTTGCAAGCTTGACAATGTTACGCACACAAATTGCAAGTTGGCTGACTCGGAGTCGACGAATACGACTTCCCAGCAGATATGTTGCAGACACCCCACAAGTCTACTTAACTTGCAGTAGGTTCAGCTCGACGTCGATTGATGAACAAGCCATACCCCAGCAGGCTAGAGTTGTTATCTGCGGAGGGGGCATAGCGGGTCTGTCAGCGGCCTACAACCTGGCCAAACTGGGAGAGACAGACGTTGTGCTGCTGGAACAAGGAAGGTCAGTCCAAGAACTGCCAAAAATCTACCAAAATCAGTTGCTTGGTTTTGAATGATTTTGATGTATTCAGAAAATGACTACTGCACAGACATTGTTGGAATTTAGTGGATTTGTTAAAGGAGTTCCTTTTCTTTTATGACGTGACATTTGGTTGCTTTGTGAGTTATTGTGATTGACTTATGAATGACTTGTGATTGACTTGTGATTGACTTGTTGTTGGCTTGTACTGACTTTTGATTGACTTGTGACTGACTTGTGACTGACTTGTGACTGACATGTGATTGATGTGTGATCAACTCTCAATTGACTTTTGTTCGATGGGCTTGTGAGAAACTGTTTAATTACTTATGATTGACCTGTGATGGAATTTTGATTAACTTGCGATTGACTTGTGATTGACATACGATTTACTCAGTTACATCTCTGCATATCTGTGTTTGCATCGGCGTTTTTAAGTCTCTTTTGTTTCTCTGTAGACTAACCTCTGGAACAACATGGCATTCACCCGGTATGGTCAGTCACTTCCGAAAGCCAGCATTGCACGCACTCTCAACCATAAGCGCCAGACTTTACAAAACACTGGAAGAGGAAACGGGTCTCAGTACAGGTACCGGTATGGTCTCCAAGCGGGAAGTCTAGGGCACAACGTGGACATGTTCTGGTTCATTTTGTGCATGTATGGCGTTAAGTGCGTACAACCAATTTTCTACAAAATATGCACAAATCTGTGGTGTAACAGGAACACGTCAAATTCTTAGACTTTTCAAATGTTATCAGAAAATATGAAAATGTCAATGACTCCCCCATGCATTCATCATACACAGCCACTACTTTAATTTCTGTATTACAAAAATTTGAAGAGGCGGGTTTTGTTTGTGTTTAAATGACACACATCACTGACAAGTTGATGATCTATACTCGCATTATTTGTTCCTTTGATAAAATGAAAACAGAATTTCCCTAATGTTTACATGTTTCGATTTAAAAGCAGACAATGCACTAATAATTGAGTTTTTCCTATAGTCTGAGAAAATGAAATTACAAACTTGTTCTTTGTAGGATATAGAGAGGTCGGATGCTTGCTCCTAGCACAAACCAAAGATCGCATGATTGACATCAAGAGAATTGCTGCTATGGCCAAGTAAGTAATTACTGAACAGTCGTTAATAAATTCCGCTCCAATTTCTTTGTTCACTTGTATTTCAATTATTGTTCAGACCAGATGCATAAAAGACTTTCACTGAATATCCATTCACAATCAATTTAGGTATCGTAAATCTTTTGTTATTTGTGCATTTTTTTTTCATTTGAAGCAACAAAAGTACTCCTAATTTAAAGAAGGGTGCTGATCAACTAACCTGATGAAGTTTCAGCTCAGTGAATGCTGTATATTCCAAGAAAACAGTATTCTAAGGATCTTGATTTCAAATCAAAAGTTGCTGAGTCATGTTTTGAATCGGACCTGAATTCAGCGTCCGAGACACGTTCTCACTGAGCCGATTGCAGCTACGCAATGTCACACACTGGACCTACGAATGATAGCAACCGCGAGCACATGTGAGTCATGTGCTTGTGCGCGTTTCGCCGAATTAAAAATGAACTACTAACGAAAATTTCTAAGAATGCGTCTTTAGACGCATCGTTGGAAATGGGGAGTTTAGTCCCATTACTATCTTTAAACTAAGTATGCTTTTCAACAATAATTACGTCAGTTACTTTTTTGGATCGCTGCAAATGATGGACTGTAGCTTTAAGATCATTGTGTGCACTCTGGGACCAGCTTTATTAGGCTTGCGTTATCTTGGTGACAGAACATAGCACATTTCAGTCGTGTTTTTGATGTGTGTTTCGTTTCCTCCAAGGACGAGGAATATGAACTGCTCGTTGATGGCACCCTCCGAGGTTCACTCCATTGTCCCGTGGGTAAGAACGGATGATCTTGAGGGAGCCATGTTTCTACCTGATGACGCTGTGACTGACCCAACAAACACTGCGTTGTCTCTGGCAAAGGGTGCTAAAAACAGAGGTTGGTCAGCGAGAGTCTTAACCATATTAGTTTATGTACTACATTGAACTACATGGTACTACATTGTACTACCCTTGGAAATAACACAGGGGTCTAAGCATAGCAAGAGGCACATATACCTTAAGCGGAAAAAGTTGCTTGAATCAGCGACATAACAAAAATTCTGTGGCATGTGTTTCGTCTTGCTTTTGGCTGTTGTTCTTTTAAGAGTGTGTTTGTTGTTGTCTTCACTTGGTCTGTTAGTTTGTTTGTCTGTTAGTGTGTCTTTTGATGTCTTGTTTCAAACAATTTTCTGGATAGGTGTCAAGATCTTAGAAGGGGTTCAAATCCAAGCTGTACTGTCGGAGGACGGAAAGGTTTCTCAAGTTCAGACGTCCCTCGGTGACATCCAATGTGACTACTTTGTCAATGCAGCAGGACAGGTAAGGAACTGTCAATGTGGAATGGACTCCATACAGGGACTGTAGAGGGCAGTATACAGCCTAGTTAACAAGAACGTACACATTCTGAAAAAAAAAAAAAAATTGAGCAATAGGGTCAGCTTTTTCAGTTTTTTTTTCCAATTTTGTCAACCCCAAACCAGCAATTGATTAAATGCTAATAAAATGTGTCATTACTGCCCATAATTATTTGAACCATTTTTGATTCATATTTTTTGTTGTTTCAGTGGGGTCGAGATGTTGGGTTGATGAGTCGTCCTACAGTCAATGTACCAATGCATACCAATGCACACGGATACCTGATCACCAAACCACTACCAGGAATGGATCTCAATCATATGACTCCATGTATGCACACACATCCATATTTTTATTTATGGGTGGCTTGACAAACACAAACTGATGTAATACAATGTAACAGTGACAGGTGCTAAAGGTTAATTACTACAATGTAATACAATGTGCTTAATACCTTAAAATGTAATACAATATAACACGGGTGCTAATAGTTAATACATTACAATGTGATACAATGTAACACATGTCCCAATGGTTAATACCTTACCATGTAAAACAATGTAACACATGTGCTTGTGGTTAATACCTTACAATGTAAATACAATGTGCTTCACACTTTACAATGTAATACAATATAACACAGGTGCTAACGATTAATACATTACAATGTAATACAATATAACACAGGTGCTAACGGTTAATACCTTACAATGTAAGACAATGTAACCCAGGTGCTAATGGTTAATACCTAACAATGTCATGTTCTAATGGTTATGTAACACATGCGCTAATAGTTAATACCTAACGATGTAACACAATGTAACACAGGTGCTAATAGTTAATACCTTACAATGTAAACCATGTAATGCAGCTTCTAATGGTTAATACCTAACAATGTACTACAATGTAACACAGGTGCTTATACCTAACAATGTAATTCAATAACAGGTTCTAATGGTTAATACGTTACAGTGTTATACACTGTTACACAGGTGCTAATGATTAATACCTACTCTCATCCTCCTTCAACTTTTGGACAGATGTCCGTGATTTTGATAGCCACATCTTGTTCCGTGAGTGGAGTGGTGGTCTCCTGTGCTGCCTCATTCCTCCTGTTTCCGTGCCGATCTTCCACGAAGGAATCCCAGAGAATTCGGAGTTTTTATCTCTTCCAGAGGACCCGGATCTTTTCAGTAAGTCTGTCAGAAAAATATTGTCTGATTTGTAACTCACAATTGGACCTCTTCGAGCATCCACTTTGAGTCACAATTTTTAAATTGCCACTATTGATGATTTTCTAAAATTAAGTTGCTCACTTTGGCCTTACATTCCGGACAGCCATTAATAATGGAGCTGTTTTGAAGCTCACGATGTATCTAGAGTTAAGGATCCCTTAGCTTTGGAGAATAAGCATAAAAACATTTTGACAAATACTATGACAGTGTAATTTTCTTTTCTACCTTCTTTTTCAAAGACTATGTAATGGAAAAGTTTCTCCACCGGATTCCATCGGGGGAGCAAATGGAAGTGCAGCAGTTCTTTCTAGGACCAGAGTGCTTCACTCCGGATACAAAGTTTTTTTTCGGTGAAGCTGCAGAGGTAACCATCAAACCGTCAAATCCAAAAATCTTTTTTAACCTTGACGGTGATACCATGAAGATATCAAGTAATGCCGGCCATTTTTAATTTGTCACGCTCACTCTGTATACACTTATGCATACCACATTACACTACACATGAACTCTGACCCTCCTAGATCTTTCAGAATCCAACAGAAAGGTTTGATTGGTTTTATTGGATCAATGAAAATTGAACTCCAGCCACTATTTCTTGACATGGGGCTTGATGCTCCTTGAAGCTTGGTAGGCACAAAGAGCTTGTCATTGGGTTCCTGCAAAGTGGAGGATTTTGTAGGATTGAGGAAGGTAGATAACCCCGCCACTTTTACTTTACATGGAGCTTGATGCTCCTTGAAACTTGGTAGGTACAAAGAGCTTGTCATTGGGTTCCTGCAAAGTGGAGGATTTTGTAGGATTGAGGAAGGTAGATAACCCGGCCACTTTTACTTTACATGGAGCTTGATGCTCCTTGAAACTTGGTAGGTACAAAGAGTGTGCCATTGGATTCCTGCACAGTAGAGGATTTTAGAGGACGTGGAGAAACGCCCACTAATTTTGTTGATTCAAAAATATGATGTTAAAGCTTAGCCTGTACTGCTGGCTTATTCCTAGATGAGAAACTACTACCTGATGACTGGGATAAGCATGGTTGGGGTCACCATGTCTGGGGGCTTGGGACAACTCTTAGCTGAGCTGATCGTTCACGGAGAGACTCTCCTCGGAAACTGGTCAGTCAACCCTCAACGCTTCTCACCGCAACAGAACAACAAGGCGTACCTTAGAGAGAGGGTTGCAGAAATCGAAGGTATATAGACTATTTTGGACACCACAATTCAGAAGCCATGTTGCTGAGATGGCACCATTGAGGTGTGTGTCCATTTTGGCAAGTTGTAAACATGTTTTAATTCTCTAAAATTTGGCTTCATTATCTACGATTTTATGTCCCTGAAGTGGAACACAGACCCACATTGAGCCAGACTCCCCAAATCAGGGGCCAAAATATCTTTTGAGGACAAAGACGAGGCCCAACCCAAGGTATGGAAAACCCTCTAAAACCGAGCAGGCAAACATAGCAACAATCTGTGTCGGTTAGTATTATGCTCTTCCCTCCAAATTCATTTTTTTTAAAACTTTTTCCTGTGGATATGACGTAACTTTTTATTTTGTTCAGGAATGCCCTTCAAAATAGGCTACCCTTTTAGGCAATTGCTGACGGCAAGAAACCTACGGTGTACTACGCTGCATGACCAGCATGTGCAAGCGAGGGCGGTGTTTGAGGAGTGCATGGGAGTGGAGATACCCCAGTTGTACCTGGGCGAAAGTGCCAGTGGTATGTTTCAATTTATCCATTCTCTGTCACTCTTTCTGCATTTGAAGTCTCACTGACATAAAAACTGTAAATATGTGTTCAGCTTGACTTTTTTTGTGTGAAAAATAAGTGGAAATGGACATTTAAACCAGGGATTCAAATTTGAGTTGTCTTGTTTCAGAGGCCATGGTTGAGGACATACAGAAATTCAAATTTGAGTGGTCTTGTTTCAGAGGCCATGGTTGAGGACATACAGAAATTCAAATTTGAGTGGTCTTGTTTCAGAGGCCATGGTTGAGGACATACAGAAATTCAAATTTGAGTGGTCTTGTTTCAGAGGCCATGGTTGAGGACATACAGAAATTCAAATTTGAGTGGTCTTGTTTCAAAGGCCATGGTTGAGAACATACAGAAATTCAAATTTGAGTGGTCTTGTTTCAGAGGCCATGGTTGAGGACATACAGCTAGGGACGTTTTACAAACCAGTCTGGTTTGATCAGGTCAAGGCAGAGTATCTAGCTTGCCGTGAGGCGGTCGCTGTGATCGATGTGTCGTCTGTAACAACATTTGAGTTGGAGGTATGAAAACTAAAAGAAATTGCTGCTGCTTATACTTCTATAATAAAGCCTGGCAAAAGTCCAGTTTAAAGGCTTATTTTGTTCATCATGCTTTTACAAACTGCTACTTTCAGTGCTTGTTTTTAGAATTCACTCCTGATCAGTAAAACAAACGACTAATCTAAGCCCATTCACAAAAAAATTATTTAGAATTGGAAAACAGAACTGTCATTTTTGCCTTACCAGAATGTTAGCATTGTTGAGTTCTCAGAACTGTTTAATGTTTGGCATTTTTTTCCTAATTTGTTAGGGTGAGATGGCAACATCCCTACTTCAGACATTGTGTGCCAATGACGTAGACGTTCCTGTAGGAAGTGTGGTGCATTCTGGGATGCTCAATGAGCATGGTGGTTATGAGGTCTGTTGCAGTGTAGCTCGCTTGAAGGAAGATAGGTTGGTCATTTTGAAATCCCATCCCCCCCCCTTTTCACCTTGCCTCGCGGCCTTTTCATAATCAGCACAAATGGAAATGCATTGTATCATGTTTTTATTGTGTCATGTTTTTACTTTAGACATTTGCAACAGTTGAACACATTTCAACGGCAGTTTTTACAAGATCCCTTCAGCTGTCTAAAACAGTTATTCCTTTGAGTGCTGTAGTCTAAATCAAATCTCAACTGATGGATTTTCATTTTGTCTTCAATTCTAGGTATTTCATCGTCTGTCCCACTATTCAGCAAGTCAAGGGATTTCACTGGATCACCAGGCAGCTGCCTAAAGACGGCTCGGTCAAGCTACGAGATGTGTCCGGTCAGTACACCGGTCTGAATGTCCTGGGACCAAAAGCCAGAGATGTCCTGCAGAAATTGACCAACACGCCACTCGACACAGCAAGCTTCAAACCAGCCTGTTACAAGGTCAGATGGAAGTTGTTGCTGTCATTGCTTGTCCATTACTGTCATTGCTATTTATGTAGAATAAGACAGAAGTGTCACTTCTCGTCACTGCTTGTCCATCTGAAAACTTGGAACTCTGCTTGGTCCTAAAAGCCCATCTTTTTAAACAGCATGCAAGAAAGTTTTAAGACAATTTAAAAATGGATGACTTTCTTTCAATTTAAAAATGTCTTCTTTTTTTTCAGGAGCTAAACTTTGGTTTTGCGTCAGGGGTTCGCGCCATGACAGTAACAGACACAGATGAGGATGGAATGATGCTGTTTATTCCTAATGAGGTATGGGAGTTGCTCTTCTTGAACTTCTGTGTTACCATGAATGTCTTGGGCAATTCTAAGAGTCTATTGTAATGGCTTTGTCATGGTGTATTGTAGATCTTTCTTGTGGAGACATTAATATCAGGAAGTGCATGAGTTCATACTTGGCACAAGGATAAACGGCGAATTGACACTTATGCCGCTTACAGTTGTAACTTCATTTTGACATCTTTCATAATGATAACCAGGCCAGCATCTTCAATCAAAGTATCAATCTTGATTTTCAACTTGTTTCTCCCTCAAGTCTGCCAGGCATGTATACGCCACATTGATGTCTGCCGGCAGCGAGTACGGCATACGCCCAGCTGGGTACCACGCCCTAAGATGGCTGACTGTGGAACAGTTCTACCCGAACTGGGGCGTCGACTTCGACAACGAACACACCCCGCTGGAAATTGGACATGAGACGGCAGTGAAATATGACAAAGTAAGATTTGGGGAGCAAGCAACGGGGGCCATTGGCTCTCCCACTTTTTCCACCGGGGTGGGGGGGGGGGGGGTGGGGGATCCTCTTGGCAGATCACAAAATAGTGTACCTAAGGCCCTATATTTGGATCAACATAAAAAAAGAGAAATTCTGTAGTCTATTGTCTCTGGAAGTAACAGGATGAAATATTCGCTTTTGATTATCAGGAAGGTCGACATATGCTGCAGTCCCCCCCCCCCACTTTCAAAATGTTTGCGCTGCCACTGGGAGCAAGTGTTGTTGCATGGTTCCTCATTTCAGAATAAACCTAAATACATGTATTTCTTTGCATAACTAAGTCTAAAAGTTGTTGCACATTCAGTTTGGATTTGGCATTTGATTGAATCTGATTTTTTTGTTTCTGTTTTGGAATTAGAAACTAGAGTTCATAGGTCAGTCAGCGTTGCTAAGGCAACAAGGTGAGGGCGTCCATCATCGGTTAGCCACATTCGTCATGGAGGATCACAAAGTGGACAAAGATCTCTGGTGTTGGGGCAGTGAACCCATCTATCGTAACGGTCAGTTGGCCGGAATGACCACGTCCAGTAGCTTCAGCCCCACCTTAGGCTCCATGCTGTGTCTAGGCTGGCTGAACAATACTGACCCTCAGACCGGTCAGACGCAAGTGGTCACTCACGACTATGTGACCAAGGCTAAGTATGAGATTGATATCGCTGGACAGATGTTCCCAGCTAAGGCCAACCTCTACCCACCTAAATAATTCACCAAACTTCATGGTAACAGTCTAATATCAAAATAAGTTGAAGAAATCAGGAAAAAAAGTTATCCGGTATTTTGACAAACTTGAATCTTGTTTGTTTTAACTTTTATTTCCTACAAAAGATTTCTTCCAGTTCAAAATCTGTACCCACCGACTGAATTCACCAAACTTTATGTGTAAAAGTCTTTGCAAACAATATGTCAAAGAAATCGGGGAAAACATATTTTATCCAGTATTTTGATTCACTTGAATCATTTTGTCTTTTTCATTTATCAGTCTAGAATTCAAAATTGTATTCGAAATTGGATGTATTTCTTGAAAGTATGCTTTTAAATGTTAAATCGGATTATATTTTTTATATATTGTTTTCTTATAATTTAATGACGGGAATCATGGTGATTGTGGTTTGTTTTTTTGATAAATTACACAACTGTACTCAGCTGCTTCATCTTTGTTAGCTTTTTGCACAGACTGGTCGATTCTGTGTGAAAAAAAATGCAAACTTATGTACTGCAGACTGGTATGTCAAGACAGTATTGAGTCCAAGACTTTTGTAATAAATAGTTAATACGGATTATTCTTTAAGAAACGTATTCCTTGTTGTAAATTTTCCAAAAGCCCCTCTTATGTAAGAAGCTATTATTTCCTACACATTAAGAAATGGTTTAAGGGTATTTAATTTTGATTAATGTTGAGTATGTGGAAGTGAGGAAAATGGCTTTATTTTTGTACAATTTTTTACGTATTTTTAATATGGTGCATTTTAAATTAAAAAAAAAATGGTATCTGGCTTTCGTAATTCACACTAAATGTGTATATATGCAAAACGACAGCAGTTTTATATTTATACAAAGATATCTTTTTGATGGACTAATGTTTCTGATCAAGTAATTAATGCTTGAAAATAGTGTTTGATCACAATTTGATTTTTAAGGTTATGGTGCATAATTTACGTTATAATATTTTGTTGTAATAACAGCCTTCTTGTTTAATTTTCAAAATTACTAAAAGCAAAAAATAAAAATAAATGATGGACATTGCATTATCAATTTGTTTAATTTCTGGTTTGTCTTTTTCTCTAGCTAGCATAGCATTTTAATAGTTTGCAACCGTACGCCCAAACAACAAAGATATCCCGAAAGTTGGGAACTTCTCAGCTATCGTTGGGATGATGCTTTTACGTGAATTTTAGTTAAATATAAACTAATAAAAAGTTAATTTACTAAATTCCATCGTTGACCTACAATCCCTCCGCCCACCAAAATTACAAACCATTTCCCCTCAATGTTCCTAATACATTTACATACCCTTCCCTCCCCCTGCCACACGCCCCGCCCCCGATCGACAAGAGCCGCCATACGTACGTTTATTGAGGGCGCTGTTTACAATTAGCAGACCACGCACGCATTTATTATGAAAATATGAGACGGAGTGTTGATGAAATGTGTTGACTTTTGCAAGTTCTTGTGCAATACATTCCCAATAAATTTACTTACTTCAGTTCTTGACATTGATAACTGAATTCGTACTTGGAGTTTAGACTGAAGCCACACTAACTTGAACTCGACAACGTCAAAGAAACATCTTCGAAAAATCTGAAAACTGTCAGTGTCACAGTGTCAATTGAACTTGAAGTTGTAAGATTATATCAGCGAGTCCTGTGAGTATGGCTTCATCACAGCTGGACAACATCTTTGATACATTCATTGAGAATCTAGATATGGTGATCAACAAGCTGAAGGGTAAATGTATTTTCTTTCTTTGCTCTTTTAGTTTTAAACGCCAATGTGGACATGGTGGAGGTTGGATATTGCCGAACCAATGATGGGTGTGGTGGGACCACTGGGATGTCGGTAACAGGTCATCTCGTAGCTTGGGCAACTCGTACCTTGGACAACTCGTACCTTCAACTCGACGTCATTATACCGAGTCGTACCTTGGACAACTCGTACCTTTGGCAAGTCGTACCTTCAGTTAAGACGACTCGTACCATCACGCGTAAGTCAAGTCGTACCGTCAATCAGGATAATGATCCGAGGCTGAATAAAGTGGACCGTAACTCATTGAAAGTGGACTGCTTATTAAAAAAAAGGTGAATCTCTTTTTGGTATGGGCTCTCTTTCCCCCCCCCCCCCCCAAAAAAGAGGAATTTATTTAGCGCGAAGCCGGCCGCGGCAGCTTACTGTGTGCGCGGCATGCCACGCGGCATCCGTGCAAAGTGACACGGTTCTTGCGCCGCGCTGACCGGTCAATATGGACGTCTGTGCACGGTGACATTGATGCAGTCTGCCGTTACGTTTAGAGACTTAGGCTACGTGAAAATATTATGGAACTGATGTTTTTATCCAAGATTCACGTCTTACCATTATTTTTGCAATGAATGACCATCATTGAGATGATATATATATATATGAAGAAAAAAGTGGCGTCAGGTTGCAACATTTTTCCTATTATTGATCCCTATAATCGCCTGAACTACTTTTTTTTTTCCCGCAAAAATGATAAGACGTGAATCTTGGACTGACAAATATTTCCAATTACACCAAATCCGCATCTGAAGTTTCTCCACTGTAAAATTCAATCTATCTTAACTTATCCATTAAAAACAGAATGGCACTGCCGCGCGCGGCGCGCAGCTCGCAGGCCGGCCGCTTCCGAGTCACCGGCATCGGTACCGCGCACGACCGACCGCTGCTCGCGCCCTCGGAGGCCGGCCCGCCAGGCCTAATGCGGAAAATCATGCTGCCTGGCAAAGCCATTAGATCTTGAATGTGGTTCTGTGAGATAGAAATTAACTTTGACTTGAAAAGAATCATATCCGGCGTTTCGGAGTCAAGGAACCACACACTAAGTCACGCACATACAGTGTACTCTACTTTTTATTCTGATGGTACGAGTCGTCTTAATTGAAGGTACGAGTTGTCCAAGGTACGAGTTATCCAAGGTACGAGATGTCCAAGGTACGAGTTGTCCAAGGTACGAGTTGTCCAAGGTACGAGTCGCCCAAGGTACGAGTTGACTCGAAAGCGGGATGTCGCACTAAAATTCTGAAATTTCATCTTTGACTTTTTTTTTGTGGAAAGAATATGTTTTGAAAAACTTATTACTTTTAGTCACACTGAGGGGGATTTAATGTAGGTTCCGCCTTCATCATTGTTCTAAAAAAGAAAATTTATTAATTCATATTTGACATGTTCAGGAGGCCTATAACGTTAACTTTGTATTTTGTTTTAAGACCATTTTATCAATATTTTTTGGCAGAAGAGGACTCGCCTCGACCTACATCACCTTCTTACAACTTAGAAGATTTCTGGAAGAAACTTGGTGAGTTTCTTTACAAATATCATTTATAATCTGCATACTTTACATGATATGTTAACTTAAAGTACTTCTTTGTAGACAAAAACATTGTTAAAACTAAAAGCATTGAACTTTTAAAGATGCGATTTGGAAAAGTAAAAAAAAAGAACATGCATTTGTCTGGTTAGAAGTTGGATGTAACTGGCAAACTTGTTTTTCTTTATGATGCTTTCTGTAAAGACATTTTTCTGTAAAGACTTTATAAACCATGTTGGTTTTGCCATACCACTTCTTTGTACAACACCAGATTCTTAAAATAGTTTCTGATATCAATGTTTTTTCTCTTTGCTGTACAGGAACTGCGTTTGAGTCCGTTTCAACGGAAGCCACAAAGCTAGCCGTTTGGTTTAGTAAGCCGCCATTACCCAAGCCAGACGAATGCCAGTCGCTTATCGCCAGCGTTGAGATGTCAGCCATAGCCTTAGTGTCTGCTTTCTACGGGCTGCCTAAAGAGAAAGGTAATGTAGAAGCAGTAAATGGTGCTAGAATTATGGAAACCAGCGGGCAGCGTGATACTTCCTTCCTTCTTTGAAAGTACAGTCTCATATGTATGAGGATAAATGCACTGCCAGAAACACCGGGACGAACCCCTTCTCTTAGTGATAAGTGTTACTGGGTTCTTTTACGTGCATTATACAACTCACGGGAACTGCGGCTGTATGTCCCATCCGAAGGATGAGGCAATAATGGTTAAGTGTTTGGTTAATTATAAGGAAACAAGTGTCAAGACCGAGACTAGAACCCACACTCTTCTGATCAGAAACACCAGAGCTTGAGTCTGGTGCTCTTATCCGAAGCAATAATGGTTAAGTGTCTTGCTGAAGGACACAGGTGTCAATTCCGGGACTCAAACCCACACGCTGATGATCAGAACAACCAGAGCGTGAGTCCAGAGCTCTTAACCACTCGGCCATGACACTCCATCACAAGCCCAGTCACAAGTAACAGGGGATGAACAGTATCAAAGGATTGCCATTTTCAGCTTATGACTTGTGATGGACTTGTGATGGACTTGTGATGGACTTGTGATGGACTTGTGATGGACTTGTGATGACTTGTGATGGACTTGTGATCCATTACAACACCGTCAGTGAGTGAGACACATGTGCAGTGTGCATGACCAACTTTCACGTGCCGAAACCCATAGCATCTTTTCAGTTGCAGTCACATGTGGGTTCTTCTATAAATTTCGAGTCCAAAGTGTGACATTTTTCCTGTCCCTGTTACCTTGGTACTTTGTAATTTGCCATTCAAGTATCATTAAGAATGACTTCAACTGATTTTTTTTTTGCATTTGTTGGGTAGGTTGTCTGTTATTCATAATCACTCTTGGAGGACGACTGCATTAAGAATTGCATCTGAATTATAAAATCATAGATCTTAGATGTAACAGGGACAGGGAAAAAGTGGACCCCAAAGTTGTAGAATGACCCATCATAGCATAATTCACTGTCTTGACATTTGTTCTTGTGCTCTTTCTCCTCCAATTATGACGAACCAGGAGTAATTCTCCGCAAAGGCACACGGCATGCAGTGACTGAAGTAGTGGAAGGAATGAAGGCGCTCACCAAGCAAATCAAAGATGACCATTATCACAGGTCGGTCTGTTTCTTGCAATTGCCAGAAGTTGGTCTAAATCTAACCCTGCATAACATTGCTTAGTTTGCAAACCAGTCCAGTACCCCCTCAACGGTTGCAAAGGTTGAGTTGGGGCAGACTACTGGGAGGGACATTCGAATGCATTGCCTGTGGCACCTGACTCTCGCGCCAAGACGCTCACGCCAAGACGCTCACGCCAAGATGCTGGTGCCTGACTCTCACGCCAGGATGCTCATGCCAAGACGCTCACGCCAAGATGCTGGTGCCTGACTCTCACGCCAGGATGCTCGCACCAAGAGGCTCACGCCAAGATGCTGGCGCCTGACGCTCGCGCGAAGATGCTATGCTTTGTGCACATGCAAAATAAGTCATGCATACTAAGCATCTCACACGCGCAAACCAAAGCGTACACATGGTGTGCCCCTCCCACCAGGGCTCTCAGAAGAGATCACAAAGCGCCCTCTATTGTGTTTGTTCACAGAGCCAATAGACTTATCGTTCAACCCCACAAGTCCATACTATTGCTGTAACACTGATCGAGCTGTCTGGCCAAATATTTGGGGATTCCCTGTTTCTGAATATCTTTGTTATGTTCTGTCTAAGTCAGAAGCTTTTAGGTTTAATTAATTGTCCTTTTTAAAAACAATTACAATAACCAGTAGTGAGAGCCAGCTGCGTCGGACAGGCAATGTGTGGGAGTGTTGCGATGCAATCAAGATGCTCCCAAGGAACAACAGGGATGCCCTCCTAGGAGTGCTGAGGGATGCGGGAGGACTTGTCAAAGATGCAGTGGAAGAACTCACAGAGGTATAAAAAAAATAGAGGATTTACTGACAATAAAGTAATTAACCTTCCTAGATCAAGTTCCCTAGGGAAAAACTATAATGTCTTGCAGTTCATATTTGAAGTGAAAAGTTTTCCAACAAGCTCTTGGAAAGCGCAGCACTGAGTATTCAATATATTTGGAATACACTAAATGCGCCCAGAACCTGTCCGAAACTATTCTAGTTGAGGGAAAGAATTAACGCTCTCCTTATTTAGTAATAGCTGTAGAGCCATGTAGCTATAGAGCTACGTCGATTGTCAGGATGTTCCCATGCAGTTGTAATTGGTGAAGACCTAGACAGTAGTTCTAAGAGATATGGGCAGGGCCATACTCAGAATCAATCACTCTCCACCCTGTAGCTCCAGGAAACAGGCGGCCAATCACAAGGCTGGGAAGACCTTGACCCGGTTATCAGCGGGACGCCCTCTAGTGACTCCAACCTGCAGGAGGAGGGCTGGAGCGAGCATGACAGGACCCTGCTCCCTCCCAGCATGGGACTCCTGAAAGCCGCCAAGTCCTGCGTCAAGAAAGTCTCTGGTGCAGTGCGAGCTAACGGTCAGTGGGAGGAGGAATCATTGGCGGCACAGCTGGATGATTTGGGCGAGATCGCTGAGCGGATCAGCCCGGCTGCCGACGACATGGTCATGTGCTTGTATCCACAAATCAGACATCAGGATGTCAGGCAGAACGTAAGCTCTCAAAATTATGATGACTAATTATTGCTGGAAAGTTACTCTATGAACCAGAAATATCTGGAACGCTTTTGTTCCAGACAAAATGTCTGAGACGTTAACCTGTCAAAACCACTAACGTTTCCGACATTCTATTCACCTAAAAATATCTGAAATGAAGCCCGTCAAGAAACTGGCCATGTTATGTTTCAGAAATTTCCCGGGGATTTCCAGGAAATTTCCAGGAAATGTCCAGACATTTGAAATGTCTGAAACAAAGAGGAGATTAAAAAACGGTGACTAAATGTATGAAATATATTCACCATTGTTCTCGTTTCAGACGTTTTGTCCAGAGCAAAAGCATTTCAGACATTTCTGATTCATAGTGTTATGACCAACTATTTCTTCAGTTGACGTGGAATATTTTCTGTTAACCTAATACCAAAATTTAAGGCTAGTTCATACTTCACACGAATGTCAAATCGAAGCAGATTTCATGGAGTCAAGTTTCATTTGACATTGGCTATTATCCTGGGGAGTTTGCGTCACGATGCAATTTGCATATTGAACCAGCCATTATGAACCAGCTGTTAAGGAGGGTTTTTAGTCGTCCTTTAAGTTGTTGTCCATTTAGGATTTTTGTCATCTTTTCAATTCACACTAAGCCCCTGTCTTCAAGACATCATTCACTGATTTTTGTTTTCTCTGTCTCAGGCTAACAAACTGGCTGAGGTCCTCCTGAGTCTTCTGGATAGAACCAAGACGTCTCATGTTGCTAAGGAGGCGGACAACGCCTGGCTGACCTTCCTAAGCAAAGCCGTCGACCACAACCTGGAGAAAATCACGCATCTGACTGCCCCTGCACCGAACGACGACACATAAGGGAAGCAGCCAAGCCCCAATGGACCAGGCAATGCATTTTAACTCATGTTATCTTAGCACAAGTCAGCTGGACATGCCAAGTTGCCAACCCACTCCAGCTGAAGTGTATTGGCAGATGCTTTGACTCACCAGGCAAATGAATTCTGGTGCGCATAAAAAAAATGCCAATAGAGGCCTTATTATCTGTCAGTCCGGTAATGATCTGGAGCCATATTCATGAAACCTTACTAACTTAGCAGCCAACTAGACCTTAGAAAGGTTTCATGAATATGGTGCCAGGAGGGATAAGGCAAAATGTTCCACCTGTTGGCTGAATATGCCAATATGTGTGGAGTACATTGGAGGATGCAAACCTCACTCAGCAAGCATTTCCTGTGGAATCATATGGATGTTCATCTGATGTTCAGAGGTTAAGCTTGGGAGTTTTGAATGCTCACCGCTGTGTCTATGTCCATGTCCAAGGGCATTCTCTTGGCGGACGTTGAAATGTTTTGGAGGGTGGTAGTAGATCAAGAGTTAAAGAATATTATTTATATAATCTGAGTGGTTTTTGAGACATATGTGGGTTCTCAGACAAAAAGGACTTTGTAACATCGTAACAAAGAATAGAGCCAAAGATGTCACATTCTCTAGTGTTTAAATGTATACATTATGTATACACCAAACTTGGTCGGTCAGGTTAATACCAGAAACAGACCACTTTTTTTGACAAAACAGGGCAAGGCACATATCCAAACAAAATTTCAATAATAAAATATGGATTGTATTTATTCATCTGTTCAGTCCTGATTCCAGTTGACGTTTTAGACATTTCATTTCTAATAGGCACACAATTTCTCTTGGAATTTTGGAACAATTTTCACTAAAAATTGATCACTTGGGATATTCCTAAAGAACAGCCATTAAGTGGTAGGCCTACAGTTGTACATCATTGGTTCTAAAACTGCTTGCAAAATGAAAAACCCTAGAAATGTCTGTAATAAAACATCAATGAAATAATATCTTTTATTAATGTTTTTCTTTTATTACTTTTTTGGTACCAATTCATAACACCCTCATCAGTAAAAGTACTTTAAGTACATGGAATTACAATTTTCCAAAGCAATAAACACGAAGTTACAAAGTCTACAATCTTGCTGTTTTGCGTAAACCAAATGTGAACAAAAACACGGCAATACAAGTACAAAGGACCAATGAAAAAGACCAAAAACAAATAAAACTTATGATGATGCTAAAAACCATAAACAAATACCAAATCATAATGCTGACTCAAAAATATACAAAATATTTGTGCCAAACACAGCTTTGCTTGCAGTGATAATCTGCTAGTCATTACATTGCGCGTTATTTCATGAATTTTTAACTTGGAGTTTTTAACTTGGAGTAAGTGTGTACTCAAATTTGGCAAGTGTTTTACTCCTTTTAAGGAGTTTTCTACAACAAAACATGAAGCACGCTAATCTTAAAGATTGTTTTGTTTACTCAACACGATTGCACCACTTTGGTAATACTTAATTCTGTTGTAATAGGAATGCTTTCTCCCCCTTCGCATTTAGTGACAAAAATGTGTACATGTATTAGACTTTACTAACCCGAATCCAACAAAAGCAAACACATTATTTGAAATTTTTTAAAGCATGCTAGAATGTTGCCAAACCCATCAAAACTAAAGCTTAGAATGAATGTCTGCAAAGCATACTTGTACATGTAAGTCTCGCCAGTCCACGTTCACTTTTTCTGTGAACGTCTTGGTACCAAACACTGACTTTATTGAAATTTATGTTTAAATGTACTACCCAATTGTGTGCGTGATCGGAAGTTGAGGTCAACAATTTTACAAAAGTCATCAATTCGAAATATTTGCAATACTTTATTTAATATGTTATATATATAAAATTGTAATGCCTTCTTTTCTTTCAAAGTACCCATTTATTGCCCTTGATTGGATTGGTCCTGTCAAGACACAAAACTAAATTCAAAAACTAGGATGCTACAAAAGCTCTATTCTCATTCGTAAAACAAAGCACAAAATTACAAACTTTTACAAACAATATTTGGCACTTTTCCGGCAACTCCAAAATTGTAAAGGGTCAACCTTGCATTTTCATCAAAATAGGGCAAAATTTGACTTTTCTTGGAAAAGTTAAATTGTAAGGGGTAAACCTTGCATTTTCATCAAAATAGGGCAAAATGTGACTTTTCTTGGAAAACTTTAGTTGTAAGGGGTTAACCTTGCATTGTTATCAAAATTTGACTTTTCTAGGAAATTTCAAGTTGTAAGGGCTTAACCTTGCATTTTCATCAAAATTGGGCTCAAAAAAATTGATATTTTCTGGGAAATTAAAAATTGTAAGGAGATAACCTTGTGTTTTCCTTAAAATTTGGCAAAATTGAACTTTTGTTGGAAAATTTAAATTGTAAGGGGTAAACCTTGCATTTTCATCAAAATAGGGCAAAATTTGACTTTTCTTGGAAAATTTGAATTGTAGGGGGATAACCTAGCATTTTCATCAAAATAGGGCAAAATTTGACTTTTCTTGGAAAACTAAAATTGTAAGGGGTTAACCTTGCATTTTTATCAAAATTGGGCAAAATTTGACTTTTCTTGGAAAATTTAAATTGTAGGGGGATAACCTAGCATTTTCATCAAAATAGGGCAAAATTTGACTTTTCTTGGAAAACTTTACTCGTAAGGGGTTAACCTTGCATTTTTATCAAAATTTGGCAAAATTTGACTTTTCTAGAAAATTTGAATTGTAAGGGGTTAACCTTGCATTTTCATCAAAATAGGGCAAAATTTGACTTTTCTTGGAAAATTTAATTAGTAAGGGGTAAACCTTGCATTTTCATCAAAATAGGGCAAAATTTGACTTTTCTTGAAAAATTTGGATTGTAAGGGGTAAACCTTGCATTTTCATCAAAATTGGGCAAAATTGGACTTTTGTTGGAAAATTTAAATTGTAAGGGGTAAACCTTACATTTTCATCAAAATAGGGCAAAATTGACTTTTCCTGGAAATTTTAATTGTAAGGGGTTAACCTTGCATTTTCATCAAAATAGGGCAAAATTTGACTTTTCCTGGAAATTTTAATTGAAAGGGGTTAACCTTGCATTTTCATCAAAATAGGGCAAAATTGGATTTTGTTGGAAAATTTAAATTGTAAGGGGTAAACCTTACATTTTCATCAAAATAGGGCAAAATTGACTTTTCCTGGAAATTTAAATTGTAAGGGGTAAACCTTGCATTTTCATCAAAATAGGGCAAAATTGGACTTTTCTTGGCAAATTTAAAATGTAAGGGGTAAACCTTGCATTTTCATCAAAATAGGGCAAAATTGGACTTTTTTGGAAAATTAAAATTGTAAGGGGTTAACCTTGCATTTTCATCAAAATTGGGCAAAATTTGACTTTTGTTGGAAAATTTAAATTGTAAGGGCTTACATTTTCATCAAATAAAGGGCAAAATTGACTTTTTCTGGAAATTTTAATTGAAAGGGGTTAACCTTACATTTTCATCAAAATAGGGCAAAATTGACTTTTCCTGGAAATTTAAATTGTAAGGGGTAAACCTTGCATTTTCATCAAAATAGGGCAAAATTTGACTTTTTTGGATAATTAAAATTGTAAAGGGTTAACCTTGCATTTTCATCAAAATAGGGCAAAATTTGACTTTTCTTGAAAAATTTGGATTGTCAGGGGTAAACCTTGCATTTTCATCAAAATAGGGCAAAATTTGACTTTTCTTGGAAAATTTAAATTGTAAGGGGTTAACCTTGCATTTTCATCAAAATAGGGCAAAATTTGACTTTTCCTGGAAATTTTAATTGAAAGGGGTTAACCTTGCATTTTCATCAAAATAGGGCAAAATTGGATTTTAGTTGGAAAATTTAAATTGTAAGGGGTTAACCTTGCATTTTCATCAAAATAGGGCAAAATTGACTTTTCCTGGAAATTTAAATTGTAAGGGGTAAACCTTGCATTTTCATCAAAATAGGGCAAAATTGGACTTTTCTTGGCAAATTTAAAATGTAAGGGGTAAACCTTGCATTTTCATCAAAATAGGGCAAAATTGGACTTTTTTGGAAAATTAAAATTGTAAGGGGTTAACCTTGCATTTTCATCAAAATTGGGCAAAATTTGACTTTTGTTGGAAAATTTAAATTGTAAGGGCTTACATTTTCATCAAATAAAGGGCAAAATTGACTTTTTCTGGAAATTTTAATTGAAAGGGGTTAACCTTACATTTTCATCAAAATAGGGCAAAATTGACTTTTCCTGGAAATTTAAATTGTAAGGGGTAAACCTTGCATTTTCATCAAAATAGGGCAAAATTTGACTTTTTTGGATAATTAAAATTGTAAAGGGTTAACCTTGCATTTTCATCAAAATAGGGCAAAATTTGACTTTTCTTGAAAAATTTGGATTGTCAGGGGTAAACCTTGCATTTTCATCAAAATAGGGCAAAATTTGACTTTTCTTGGAAAATTTAAATTGTAAGGGGTTAACCTTGCATTTTCATCAAAATAGGGCAAAATTTGACTTTTCCTGGAAATTTTAATTGAAAGGGGTTAACCTTGCATTTTCATCAAAATAGGGCAAAATTGGATTTTAGTTGGAAAATTTAAATTGTAAGGGGTTAACCTTGCATTTTCATCAAAATAGGGCAAAATTTGATTTTTTTTGGAAAATTTAAAATGTAAGGGGTAAACCTTGCATTTTCATCAAAATAGGGCAAAATTTGACTTTTCTTGGAAAATTTAAATTGTAAGGGGTTAACCTTGCATTTTCATCAAGATTGGGCAAAATTGGACTTTTGTTGGAAAATTTAAATTGTAAGGGGTTAACCTTGCATTTTCATCAAAATAGGGCAAAATTTGACTTTTCTTGGAAAATTTAAATTGTAAGGGGTTAACCTTGCATTTTCATCAAAATTGGGCAAAATTGGACTTTTGTTGGAAAATTTAAATTGTAAGGGGTTAACCTTGCATTTTCATCAAAATAGGGCAAAATTTGACTTTTCTTGAAAAATTTGGATTGTCAGGGGTAAACCTTGCATTTTCATCAAAATAGGGCAAAATTTGACTTTTCTTGGAAAATTTAAATTGTAAGGGGTTAACCTTGCATTTTCATCAAAATAGGGCAAAATTTGACTTTTCTTGGAAAACTTTACTCGTAAGGGGTTAACCTTGCATTTTTATCAAAATTTGGCAAAATTTGACTTTTCTAGAAAATTTGAATTGTAAGGGGTTAACCTTGCATTTTCATCAAAATAGGGCAAAATTTGACTTTTCTTGGAAAATTTAATTAGTAAGGGGTAAACCTTGCATTTTCATCAAAATAGGGCAAAATTTGACTTTTCTTGAAAAATTTGGATTGCATTTTCATCAAAATTGGGCAAAATTGGACTTTTGTTGGAAAATTTAAATTGTAAGGGGTAAACCTTACATTTTCATCAAAATAGGGCAAAATTGACTTTTCCTGGAAATTTTAATTGTAAGGGGTTAACCTTGCATTTTCATCAAAATAGGGCAAAATTTGACTTTTCCTGGAAATTTTAATTGAAAGGGGTTAACCTTGCATTTTCATC